GCTAGCTCAGTAGGTTTCATGCCTGAGCGGCACCGCGTAGGTGCTGGGTTCTATTCCCGTTGTCGTCACTTTCAATGGCCTGAGAAGGATTGGTGGCCATAGCCAATCAACACTGGTAACTCGCTGGGGCGAGTTGTGCCGCCCTGTAACCCGTTGTAATGCGGGAGCATCGTGCCAAGTGGAAGTCCTGCTCAGGTCCTGCTGCGGCCGGTCAGGACACACCCAATCCAATAAAAAGAACTCTCAGGTTGAGTTCTCAGTCAGAATCATCATAGTTGACGTTCATAATTATGATGCTTATCATGGTTGAGACCGTCGGTTTCACGATATTTCAAGAGGCTCAATATACCTGTCACAACATACTCAATAAGGAAGCTCAATAAGTCATGATCATGGCATATAATATAATCTACAATAATGACTTCCATAACAATCTCGAATTACCCAGGGCCGGTCACCTTTGGATGTGTCTTTAGATCGTCGCCCTTTAAAAAAAAAGATAAAAAAAAAATAGGGGTAACCGGTAGCACAGGACCACACGTCCATGAGGGCTACCGGTAGTAAAGTGGGGGGAACTGGCGGAGTGGCAAAATTTGAAAATGCATTGAATTACCCCCGTGATTTATTTTGCGGTTTAAATGATTGTTTTTAGTTTTTTAAATATTTTTCTTGTAAAGATCACGACCAAATCTAGAGATCCTCCAATTTTCAAAGTTGTTGGGTTATCCTTCTGATTGCAAAAAATCACGAAAGTTGGGTTTCTTTTCCCGTTGGCCCATACGTGGTAGAGTAGCAAAAATTGAAAATGTGAAGAAACGGCGCGGCATTTACTTCACCGTTTATTTTATTTTTTTTCATTTTTCTGGTATTTTTCCTGGAAAGATCACGGCCTAATCTACAGGATGTCAAATTTTCGGATTTGTTTGCCAATTTGTCTGAGCACGAAAAATTGTCAAAGTTCATGCTTAAAAATGTTTGGCCCGGACCCGCCTGCGCCTGCCGGTCGCCGCCGCCCCTAAGAACCCAGTCCGTAAGGCCAAAAAAGTCCATTTCACGCCGGCGGGGGTCACATTGTGCGATGTTAGGGTTCAGACACACAGGCACATCCTGACGTCGGATACACTTAAAAAAGACAGCAGTCCCCAAAAGCAGACAGGACCTAGTCCACGTAAGCGGTTATCTCATCGGGCAATTGGGTATTTCAAAATCTGTGCATGGGTTCGAACCCCAACCCAACCACTGTGAACGAACTTCAAATACTGATATGCTATATACTATATATATACTAACATATTAATGTGTGTGTGTGTGTGTGTGTGTGTGTGTGTGAGTGCGTGCATGTGTGTGTGTATGTGTGTGTGTGGGTGGGTGGAGGGGCGGGCAGGCGGGCGGTGTGTGTGTGTGCGTGGGTGGGCACAACTCCTTGGTTTTGTCGTCATCCGCACCGCCTCTTTTGACGCCAGCCGCCGAAAATGGCCAAAGAAGACGATGGAAGAATAAAACAAAAACGAAAGAAGGGAAAAAAAAAGGAAACGAACCGACAATTGAAATAAAAATAATTTGAAAAAAAAGGGACGCGCCGCAAAACGACACTTTCTTGCTATCGGACGGCCGGCGCTTCCAGATATTCCCTCGCATCGACGCCCCCCGCCGCTGGACCTCGTGGGCATCCTCTCTCGTTTTCTGGCGCGATGTGACCAATTCGGTGCGCGCACCGCTCTGCACGCCCCCCCTCCCTCGATCGCCTTCATCTGCCGGCCCGAATCAAAACTTCGGCCCGATTCCGGCGCGCAGCGGAATACAACCTCCCCCCGCGGGCCGCTCGTGCTTAAGGGGTAGGATTAGGAGTTAGTCATTCTTGCTTTCGGCATACATTTTGACCCCGTGGGGATAATGAAGTGGTGCCAAAATTTTCTCATTTTACTTAGCCTTTCTTCTTGACGGCACACTTCGATCCCATGAGGGTAACAAAATGCTGCCGAAGTTTTTGAAAAATCCAGCACTTAATTTCTCTTCACCTCCTTATCGACTTATTTATTTATTTATTTATTTATTATTTCCTTATTTATTTTCTGAAAATTTTAATTTGCGGCATTTTGAAACTTAGTGTGCTTATCTTGGTCTCTCCTTTCCCTTGGCACATTCTTGACCCCATGGGGGGTAGGGAAATGCTGCCGAAAATTCTAAAAAAATAAATATTATTTCGCTTTTCACATTTTGTTTACTTGTTTCTTGAATTATTTTTATTATTATTTATTTATTTTTATTTTTCTCTCGAAATTTCACTGTTTATTTATTTTTCCTTCCGCCTCCCCCCCATGCTTGCTATTTCACCGGTACCCTACCCTAACCACTCAAACTCCGGTTAGGGTTTTCTTAGGGTTTTTATAGGGTTTAGGGTTCTCCTAACCCCCCTACTTCCCCTTTGCATTCGGGCACCCTGGACCTGAGCCACCCTTCCCCATTTGCGGGCGCCCGCGCTCGACTCACTAACGCCGCCCGTTGCTTTCTACCTCGGAACCCCCCCTACGCCCTCCGCTCACGCGGACCTCCTCTGGCCCCCCCAGTCCGGCCCGTCACCTCCCCCTGGCCGACAGCGTGTCACAAGCCGCCAACGCGGCGACGACCTCGGCACCGGGCTCCATATTCGTGCCGGCGGACCAGGGCCACCAGCCCAGGGGGATCTGCACACCTTCCTCACCTTCCTCACCTTCCTCCTTGCGCCCTTACAGGCGCAGGTGGCGACTCTTGCCGCTGGCCCTCGAGAACTCCAGGACACTGGTCATCCTTCCTCTCCCTACTCTCTCTCTTCCCCTACCTCCCAGTCCGGGTTCCCCGTCCTCCGACATGGTGGCCACGGTGGAACTTCCTCCTCCACTGCCCCCGACCTGGCCATCCTGGTGACCGTCCATGCTCCTAGCGCGACGGCCTCCACGGGCCAGGCCCTCCCTCACTCTACGGGTGCACCCGCCTAGATTCCTGCCACTACGGCCACAAGACCACAACCCGATGTCGTGGCCTCAACTTTTCCAGGTGCCCCGCTTCTCCCTCCCCTTCGCACGACCACCGCGCCACCTGGCTCTCCCCCTTATGGGATGCCCTACGCCGCTCGTGCATCTACTTCCCCCACTCCTACTACTCCTCGCTCAATCTACATTCGACGTTTTGAGGACAAGCTTGCCCAGACCCGGGCTGACCTCGCCCTCTTACGCCTTCAGCCACCCCTACCCTCACAGGTGGCTGCGCCTTCGGGCACACCCCTTCTTCCTCTACTGTTCCTTCCATACAGGCTCGCTTCCTTCGCCCTGCAACCCCTCCACCCCCATCCTACCTTTTTCCTATTCCCTTGGTTGTTGCGACCTCTTCTACTGCAACTCCCTCGTAGCCTGCCGTTGTTGCCCCTGCCACTCCCCCATGTGGACCGGGCGTACAGTCAGTTGTGCCCCTTTCTCCAGGATCTGTGCCGACTTACTCAGCTGTAGCGCAGACCTCTGCTCCTCGATCTCCTCGTCGCCAAAACGGCGGCGCACCACTCGTTCGCTTGACGGACATTGCCTTGTATGATGGTACAGGGATACACGTGTCTCAGTGGCTGCAGTCTGCCACCCGCACGCTCCAGCTCATGGGCGTCCCATCCGACACGTGGGTGGCTCACCTCTCCACGCGCTTGCGTGGCGGTCCTTTCGATGCCTAGATCACTGCTATTGCGGAGTGGCCCGCCCCCACATCCGCTAAGCAGCTTCGTAGCTTCCTAAGCCTCACTAGCTACTATAGTAATTTCATCCAGGGATATGCTAGGTAGTCCTACGTCCTTACCTCCACCCTCCTCCGGAAGAACCCGCCATGGGCTTGGACACCCCTCCATGAGGACGCCTTCTGCGCCCTCAAGAAGGCGGTGACATGTGCATCGGTTCTTCACCTACCCAATTTTGGTCGGCCTTTTATCCTTACCGCCGATGCGTCTGACTTTGTTGTAGGAGCAATGCTTTCTCAGATTTTCCCGTCCTCTCCTGATTCCTCTCATCCTCATATCCCTCGCTTCCCACCTCCTACCCCTACCACTGCTTCCCGCCTGACGCCTACTCGTCCAGCTACCGACGAGCCTTCTATTGACTATTCTCCTACCATCGTTGAGGACGGCACTGTCGAGTCTCGCTCAGGTGATTGTCCGATAGCTTTCTACTCCCGTCAGCTCCTGCCCGCCGAGATAAACTACACTGCTGATGAACGTGAGGTTCTCGCAGCAGTTTATGCCGCTCGACATTGACGTCACTACCTGAACGGGGCACCATTCATGGTGCGCATGAACAACTCTGTTGTCCAAGCTTTTTTGACAAAGTCGAAGCTCACTCCTCGACAGGCTCGTTGGTGGTGCGACCTGTCCGAGTTTAGTTTCACCACTGAGCACATCAAGGGTGAGACTAATCGGATCGCAAATGCCTTATCCTGGCGCCCTGACCATAATCTAGAGCAGATCCAGCTTGCTGCCATGGTCACCACCGTCCACCACTTGGTGATCGACGAATTTCGCACCCAGTACCGCCACTGCCCCGACTATCGCGACATCTATGCGACTCTTCAGAGTGGCAAGACCGTCCCGAACTACTCTCCCGGGGACAACGGTCTTGTGTACTGGCACGGTTCACAGGGCACCAGAGAGCCCCATATTTGCGTTCCCTCCACTAGACAGCTACGTGTCCGGGCAGTTGCAGAGTTCCATGACTAGGCAGTCGCCAATCATATGGGCTTCCACAAGACGTTGGCTCGTGTGAGCTGCCTGTACGTCTGGCCGAAGCACAAGGACTTTGTGAAGGACTACGTCGCAGAGTGTCCCACCTGTCAGGAGGTGAACAGTGCGAACCACCTGCCTTATGGTTTGCTCCAGCCTCTTCCTATCCTTGAGGGTCGTTGGCAGTCCATCTCGATGGACTTTATCGGTCCTCTTTGTCCTCCGAGCCCCCGCGGTCATGATGCTATCCTGGTCATCGTCGACCACTTCACGAAGCGTGCACACTTTGTTCCGTGCCGCTATGCCATCAGTTCACGTGAGGTCGCCGACATCGTGTTTGACCGAGTCGTGCGTGACCATGGCTTACCTCTGAGCATCATATCTGACCGTGACCCGCGCTTTACCAGCCGATTCTGGCGACGACTCCACGAGGTGTACGGCACCCAGCTCCGCTTCTCCTTGTCTTACCATCCCAGACAGATGGTCAAACCGAGGTCACGAACATGACTCTTGGAGATATTCTCTGAAAGATTGTTCGTGACGACCACCAGTGGGATCTCTATCTTGCCCACGCGGAGATAGCCTACAACCACGTCGTCTCGCCAGCCACGTGGATATCGCCTTACTATTGCGACCTCGACTATCACCCTCGTGTTCCAGTGAACTTCCTTCGACCGTCACAGATGCACCCCGACACGAGTTGTCCCACACTGGATGATTGGGTTGCACACATGACGTCGATCATGAAGACCGCGCATGAACACATAGCCACTTCCCAGACGCGCATGGCCACACGTGCGAACCGATCGAGGATAAATCATCCATTCAAAGTCGGTGATGATGTGCTTATCGACGCCCGCCACTTACAGCTCGAAGTGGATACGCTTCGCAAGTTCCGGTGTCGCTTCTTTGGCCCATGCCGCATTCTCCAGGCCGTCGGTTCTCATACGACTTTTAGCCCGGTCAGCTTCCGTGTGAAGCTGCCCGACTACCTACGCCAGGCTCGTGTGCACGATGTCTACCACATCTCGTTACTGCGTCCCTACCGCAGACCGTCTGAGCATTTCGCTAGACGACTATACGAGCGCCCTCCACCCATCATGGTGGACGACCATAAGGAGTTCCTTGTTTCAGATATCATTGGTCGCCGAGTCACCGACGACAACTTTCCCCATGTCGAGTATCTCGTACGTTGGAAGGGTTACCCTGCTGAGGAGGCTACTTGGGAGCCCCTCGAGCACTTGCAGCACACTCGCATGTTGGTGCATGCCTACGACCGTGCTCGTCGTGCTGGGTTGACTGCTCCTCCTCAACCCACTGACCCTCCTTCTTCTCACTCGGCTGACGGGACCGTTGAAGTCGAGACTGCTCCATCTGAGGCAGACCTTCAACAACAGCCGGATGCTTTTGAGTGTCCACAGCGCACTCGTCGTCATCCTGCTCGATACGACGATTGACTTTGACTTATCTTCCCACGTCCTTGACTTCTCAATACTCCATCCTCTCCAGTTTTGCCACTTCAGCTCGTCGACGTTGCGGCTCTTCCTCAACGACATTCCGGACTTCTCATCATGGACATCATCGGCAGCTTCATGGACTTCGTCACGATCAACTTTGCATACTTCAAACGTCGTCACTCTCTTACCACCTTACCTTGTACAATACTCTGGTTGTGTCGCATGATGGTTTCCCTTCGCCGGGTTCCTCTGAGTTAGGCTCTCCCTTGGTATACGCATAGGCATCGGGACCGTAGTGTTGCCCTGGCTTCCCAACTTACGGATCCAGCTCCGGCTTTCCCCACCTTAGGAGGCATTTGCATGATTCCCTTACCCATCACTTTTTCTACCCTTTGCCCGCCCTCACGCCCTAGTTAGGCAGCCTTGCATGCTTCATCTAGGTGCGCCCAGTATATCAGACTCCCTTATTCCCTTGCATGGTCGACCCTCCACAGCGGTCACCCCTTTAGTCGAGCATTACCCGCCCTGATGGTCTATCTGTTAGAGTCATTGGTTCTGTTCGCTCCCAGTTCCCTACCCTCATTGAGCCTGATGACACGTGTCTCCCTGTCATTATGTGTGGATGCCCTTAGGAGTTTATCGACCCCTAGGCTGCATTCGCCACCCTCAAAGACCATCCCACCCTGTGGTTTGCGACACACTTCTCCTGTGACATATGGTTGTCTTGTTGCTGCTTGTTGCTCTCAGACTGAGGCTACCGCCTCTAACATTCCTAGGATTTAGTTGTTTTTGCTTTTGCTGTTCTTAGGACTTATAGACTAGTCGGCTGTTTCCAGACTGAGGTTACTGCCTCCAACATTCTAGGATTTAGTTGTCATTACTTTCTGCTTTCCTAGGACATGTATACTAGTTAGTTGCTTTTGCTTTCACTTAGGCTGTTAGTTGTGACATTGCTGTTTTTTGTGACATTTTCTATCCTAGGTTGCATTGCATGGACTCAGCATGGAGCTTGCTCCGCATCCTAGACTACTTTGGTTTTCTTTTTCTTTGGTGGAGTTCCGCTTCTTGGCGGAAGCGTGCTTGTATCTAGGCGACCCATCACAGGCTGAGGATTGTGTAGTGGACCTCTTGTTGGCCGGTGAGACCAGCCCCTTGGCCTGTTCTCACAGGCCTGTGTGGTATTCGGGGTAGTTCAGTCCAGGCCGGTACCTCTGTCGGTACCAGCCAGTCCAGTCGAGTCCAGTCAGTCTGCTGGGGTATACCCCAGCCAGAGTCTGTATTTCGGATCATTCTGCATTCTCACAATTTGGAGTACGTGCATTGGAGTCTTGCGTGGGAGCTGCGCTGTGCCATCTTGCTCCACTCTCATCCTCCATCTCCATCTCTATCCCAGGCGGAGCACCACACCTGGTGGGTCCGCCACAAAAGGGGGTAGAGGGTGGGATGGTGGGAAACATGAAAAATAAACATAAAATAATCTTAAAACACTATCAAAACAGTCATCAGCAGATAGGAGGACAAGGTGTTGGGGGACTAAGTGCTGGGGATGTAACATTGGTGTGTTGGGTATCCATTTGGACTTAGGCTACCAGGGGCTTTTACAGGTGGTTATAGGTGGTACGGGGTCCAAAGGTGAGTATTGAGTGGGACCGTATGTAAACAGCTGGTCAGAGGCCGGTATGGAACCGGCGTGGATTTGGTTGGAAGTTGGAACCAAACAAGGGATCCAGGTATAGGTGCTACAAAGACAATGAACGAGGATGGATCTTACAAGAAATAGGATGCTAAGCGGCCTGAGGAACTGTTAGGAGCCCCCCCCCGCGCACCTCGCCTATCCGAAGGCAGCCCTGCTGCATGACTGGGTGCTGCCAGTAAGCCTCCCGGCCAGCAGGGCAACCCTCCGAAAGGTCACCGTTTGGGGGGATGGCTGCCCCGAAGCAGGGCCCCCCTTGCTAGGTGACTAGTGCCACAAGGGATGGGCTGACCCTCTGTCCCGTCTCCTCCTCCCCCCTTTCTTCAGTTGTAAAAACATGCTTGCCGGTGATGAGCAACCGGACTGAGGCCCCCCAGAATAGAAGGGGCGTATGTTTGTTAAAAAAAAGAAGGCATTCTCACCTTTCTGCAAGTATGGTATAATATACTGGTTTGCCAATTGGTGCATCGAGTCCCATCACTAGTGACAATGAGGTGAATGTCTTCAGGACAAAGGTTCCGCACATCCCATCTTTGCAAGTCACAGGAGATAGCATACTCCATCTCTCCCTTTGCGCCTCTGCTTCATGTTGCATCTCTATTTCCTGCAAAGGAAAGCGATCACCTTGTGGCCACAAAATCAGTTGTTCCCAAGGCCCACCCACTGATCTTCACTGTCCTCCACCCCTGTCTTTACACTACGTCTATCTGTCTGTCTATCCACCCCTTGCTTGGCTCCCACTGCCTGCGATTACTCTCTCTCTCTCTCTCTCTCTCTCTCTCTCTCTCTCTCTCTCTCTCTCTCTCTCAATATGAAATGACACCACACACACACACACACACACACACACACACACACACACACACACACACACACACACACACAGTCACAGGTGAACACAGTCGCCTCTCTTCCTTTCCCTCCTCTCCCTTCCTTCACATTTATTTGTTCTGTGACACTGTCCCTTTTTTATTTGGACCATTTCTCCTTTATGAGTGTCACCCTTGTGCAAAGCCCATGCCAATCTTCTCTGTGTCGTTCCAATTGTAACAGATGGCCCACATCATCCAAACATTTTTTCAGTCAGTCCCGATAGGGGGTGGGACAAGGGGGTTGGATAAGACTCGCACAACAGAAGAAGACGACGACGACGACGACGACGACGACGACGACGACGACGACGACGACGACGACTAAGAAGAAGAAGAAGAAGAAGAAGAAGAAGGAGGAGGAGGAGGAGGACAGCGCCATACTGGCAGACTCACCTGTGGGTTAGTTTGTCCATCATGGTTGTGCCATGTGTTTCTGCGAAAAGGAAACGCAAAGACAACCCCAGAGATTAATCAAGCTGATTGATTCGAGTTTTTACATTTGAAAATTTGAATCATTTCAAAGTTAAAACACACAAGACCACAGAGGCACTTGGGGCAAAGGAAAAATAATCCAGGTGGTTCCCAATGTGAACTTTTGTGAAGGTATAAAAGCCGTATCATACTATTGTGGACGGAAAGAGAATCGAGGTTGGCCCCCAATGTTACACCACAAGTACCTCTGCCAGTGTTGGGAAATTACTTCAAAACGCTCGTTCCCGAAGAATTCGGGGGTGGGACCCAAGGTTGGCAAGTCCCATAATCGTAGTTTTATGTTGCCCGCACATTGGAAAAGAAAAAAAAAAGAAAACGCTTTTTCGCTACTGCAACGATGTGGGGCAGGGTGGTCTAGGGGGCCGTGCTCACAGTCTTCCTCCACAGAATGAATCTTACAGCTAACACAGTCAAATTCTGAATTTGTTGTTTTCTTTTTTCTCTCTCTCTTGTCTTTCTTATAGTCCCCTGCCAACGAGGCAGGGCGGAATCCGTGATCTGCTCAAGCTGTGTTTCCTCAGAGGATTGTAACGCTGATCACACTGGCACTTTAAGGAATGTATCCATTTCACGGCCGAATCCATATTTCCTTTTTTTTTTTGTCTTCTTTTGTCTTTCTGGAATCAGGATTGTAACGCTGATCACACTGGCACTTTAAGGAATGTATCCAGCTATTTTCACGGCCGAATCCATGTTTCCTTTTTTTTTGTCTTCTTTTGTCTTTCTGGAATCTGACAACCTGGCCACGGGATTGAGATGCCCTTGCTGAGGTCACACTCACACTACCACTTCCAAGAATGTATACAACTGCAATCACGGCTTGTTTCCTTTTTCTTGACTTCTTGTTTTGTGAGTTTCACAGCAGCAACTTTTCTTCTTCTTTTTTTTTTTTTGTTCTTTCCGTGAGAGTACCAGAAAGAAAATGGGGGAGAGCAGTGAAATTCAGGCTCAGCAAAAACAGGCTCGGAGGTAGTGGTGGTTAAAAAAAAAAACAAAAAAAAACAGAACCTTACAGTTCTGGCTCCTCGTCCATTCTCGGGAGCGTCAATCTGGTTCCTATTCCCCAGGCAAGTCATGCCGACCTACTCATGACCAGGCAAGTCAGGAAGGATTACAAAGTGTACTCACTCACGCTCCTCCCACGCTCCTTCCACGCTCCTCCCCCTTATGGCGGGAATGCCCAAAGGACGGCATTGATTACTTCCTGAAGGAAAGATGTGCCATCCCTTACCCCTGCCTAAGTAAGCCTGTTTTTTTTTTTTTTTTTTTTTTTTTTTTAAACCAAACCCAACTGAAGTCATTAGGAATGGTGATAAGAGCAGCCATTCCTAATTACCCAGTTGAGACTCCAGTATATTGGTGGGGAGCATCACCTGCTGAAAACCGGGTTCAGCGTCCCTCGTACAGAAAATCAAACTGTCAAACATTATAATTTTAATGAGAACCAATAGGATCAAACCACCTCTTCAGTCCTGAACAGACCGCCATATAGGTCATGCACATCTAGCAGTTCTAGTATACTTGCAACTGCACGAGCCGCACCCGCACAGATCGGATCCGTGCGGAGATCCGTACGGGGGGTGCTCGATCTCCGCATGAGCCGCACCCGCACAGACCGGATCCGTGCGGAGATCCGTACGCGGGGTGCCCGTGCGGAATTTTTAATTTTTTTTTTTTTTTTTTTTTTTTTTTTTAG